TGTAGTTTATAAATATGTATATGAGAAAAAACTATCTGGTCTTCTTCAGATACAGCATCAACCAAGATGCTATTGAATTACTCGTGTATCTTAAGATTTGTCCGGTTCGGTCTAATTATGAACGATCTATATTATTTTAGTTCAAACAAAACCTATTACGAACACACACAACTCTTCGATAATAATAACTAACACGATGGTACCCAAAAAGAAGGCAGGAAAGCTAAACACTTGATATTTGCCAAGACAAATTGGAAAAGAATAGCTACATGGTCTTGAAGCACATAAGAAAGTAGAAAATTATGTGAGAACAATTAACCAGGACATAACAAACGTCATGTGAAGATGGATTAGAAGAAATTGTACTCAGGTTATTATTGCAGAAAAGAACGTCATATTTATTAACAAAACTGGATAACTCGTTGTTATATCCCGATAACAATAGTGAATGGTAACTTTGAGATCCATTTATGGATCAATATTATGCATATGTTTTTTATCGTATAACTGAAAAGTAACTAAACTATTCATATCCATTTTACCCTTATTATAAGCTTTACTTTGAACTATAGACTATTATTGTACGATTCCTGAGTTGTACCCAGTCTATTAATTACTGCTTCCCCTATTCACAGCCACATGTGGCTATTTCTTGTACAAATGTTATTTTCCATTTTATTGGTACGATATGGTCAGTCTGTTTGGTATACAAACTCAGTATGTTTGAAATACAATGATTCATACCGCAGAGGCTGTTATTGGTGTTCTGGACTTGACTGGCTGGGCTAGGTAGAGGCAGGACCGATTAGCACTCTCGACTGCTCGTACGATTTTTGTGTCACTGTTCCAATCGATAATTCTCTGCTCTCTGATTGGCGGTCTTATCACGTCATACATTAACTGATCATCCACTCGGCCACAAGATATAACACTCGTAAATGCCTTAGCAGTTATATAGTCAACACAAAAATATAGCACTACAACATTGAAACATATCAAGGGATAACTAACCAAATAATGATATTTTGTAATGACAAAAGTCACTTACCGTTCATTTTTTTCTTGAGAAGGCATCCTTCGTACATAGTCAAGATTAATGAATTTTGACAATCAAAATCTATCAGTAACACCACTACATTATTACTTTCAAAGCATCACTAGTTTGTGAATTATAATGAAAAGAATTTGAACTTCCGACTTCCTTTGTCTACAATGTGATGAAAATTAGATGTGTACTATTCCAAATAATTAGATATTAGTTTCGAAAAACCAATGTAACCTGACTGGATATATTAACAGTAGTGGTTAATCAAGAAATTCTTAATTCAAATGATAATACCAGCAATTGTAGGTTGACTTTTACTAGACTTTCTATTCTTTTTGAGAGAAATAGATGTGTAGAAAATTGAATGGAAAACACATCTAGATATTACTTAACTACAGTATTGTTAATTTTTGAAGTAGCACATATCCAATTAATGAATAAAACCAGAAAGACAATTTGCATTGTTTAACAAACTACAGCCACTGTTTATGAATTTTACACTGAAAGATAAATCACCTATTAACCAATATAAACTTAAGAAGAATGTGATATGAAGTTAACAAAATGGAGATAACAACAGTCCGATAAGAACTAAGCACAACTGATATGTAAATAGAAAAAATGAAGTAAATAAACAAGTCAGGTTTTTAAATCCTAATTTGAGCTTAATGATCAGGGACGCAATAAAGTTAAGTAATATTAGCGTAAGTAGGTAACAAATACACATATGGTACTGATTTAATTATAAAATATTACAAAAAGGTCTTTAATTGAACAGATAAGACTTTTCCAAAATATTGTTTGATCTTATCGTTTAGGTTGTTGAAAATTTATAGTATGACTGACCAACAGATAACCCTGATTAAATTATTACGTCTTTCAATAAAAATACGCAATAAACACACTGTATGAAGTTCTGAGGACTAAAATCATTCCAATCAACAACGACCCTAAGAATTTAATAAAAAAAGCGAAACTATGAACAAAGATCACCTTTGAATACCAAACAACAATTCAGAACAATAATGTAACTATGGATATATCTCTACTCACAGAACATTAGGAGCAGTGAGAGTATCAACGGTTATAAAATCAATTAGGTATAGAAATAGTAAGATAGTATACGAAGATTTCAAGACTTCGTACAAAAAGTGGATATCTTTATACTATTGCGTAAGATGATCACCTATCTCCAACCACTGTTTATGATAACTCTGTAGAGTCTTAATAGATAGTTTGCACCCATTTACTTGAAGTCCAATTGTCACTTCAAAAATTAACGTGATGACTTAGCCGCCTCTAGCATACTACTATAATAGACATTGCTTTCGAGGTAAACGGAGATTTGGCACGCGAAATTCATATCCCAACCACATCAATTGAAGACCCACAACCTCTTCGATCGATTAGCTTTTTGCCTAATACCATATGGCTAAAGTCAGCTTTATTCATTCGGTGGTCTCAGCATACGTATGATATGTGAGAAGTTAATGACAAATATAAGGCAATCTTTTATTTTCCATTACAATAATAAAGTATCGATCACTTAGAAGACAGTATATCACTAATTCATGTTTACACACTGGGAAAGCAAATACAGTCAGACATAAGCAGAATTAGAACAACCAATTTCGGACGACAAATAAGAATTTGCATTTTGAACTAGACAGATAAACAAAATATAAACCGATCAAGTCACTTACCAATGTAAAGCGGAAGTACTTAGGACTTATTATTAGAGAGGTTTGTGAAGATTACTTGGTTTCATTAGACTGATCTTAGACGACTATTGAAAAGCAAGTACCAAATAGTTGTTCGTTCTATTATTTAAACTAATAACTCTCGACTCAGTAGTGGTCTAAAGCTTGGGCGCTCCTTGTGAGACTTGAAGGTCCTGCGTCTGATTCTCGGAGGGCGGATTGTGGATACCTGCTATCATGGAATCTCATACTAAGACAAAAGAGAAGTTTAGTGCTTTCTGATTCTTAATTACTGTCTACGTAGAATTGGTTTTTGATATGAACAATTGCCTGCATTGTAAAACCCAATAACAATACTAACACAGGGTAATTGATAAAAAAAGAATCTATACGTAGATGTATTGTTTTATATAGTCATGTATATATACATTAATAGATGCATGCCGATCATCGTAATCGTTATTGAAACAATAAAAGAAAACATGAGAAGAAAAAAAATACCAACATTTGTAGAAAATAAGGCAATAATAATAACTCACAATAATGATAACAAATACATAATATTAATTTTTTCACAATCCTTAATTATATATGTTATGCATTAACAAATTGTTTGAAAAAAACAAACAAAATAAGATGAGGATACACGACAGAAGAAAACTAATTGTTCTGTTCATTGAGGACTGACATAGAAACACGTCAATTAACGCACAGATAGATGCATGTAAATTAAGTGTAAAGACTAGATAGGGTTCAGACAAGCAATAGAACACTAGCCATTAAAAAGAAAAACTTATTATCATTATTATTGATTCTATAACTTAGATGTAATATAATGTATAATAATGATGACAAAAGAAAGCAAGAAAGAAAAATGCAACATCATAACATGCACACAAACTTTGGTAATGGGCGCATGTCTGCCTAGTAGATGTGTTATGGAACACAGAACGATACGTCTATGAATTTCTTTTTACAAGCCATGTCATCTAGTAGAATATAGTTTGCTATAGATTATTTAATACTATTTTTGCACTTCTTTTGAGGAAAACGTCAAGAAAGTAAATATATGTACACATGAAAGGGGGAGAGACAGAAAGACAAATACAAAACAATTATGGAAAAAAGACAGAAAATTAAAGAATACAAAAATTTAGACTACGAGAATACTGCTCAAACTCAGAATATACAACGCGGTCACAAATGTCCAGACTAACCCGCTCACCCCTACCAGTCGGATAAGGAAACACGCTGAATGATATTTGTCATATACGATAGAAGTAGAAAAGTATAATAAGGCAGATAGGAAGATAAAAGATTTACAAATCTTAAAAAAAACATCTTAAGATGTCTTTTTGTTGAAAAAAAAACTGAATGTTTGCCACCAATTAAAACATTTGATTGAATAAGACGATGTACAAATAGTGAGTAATAACGATAATAATAATAATAATAATCACTGAATGAAACTGTTCGTAGGATGACTATCTGTATCAAAAGAGAAAATAAAGGAAAACCAAGGTAGAAAGGCATTTTATTTACTATAGTAAACATGATTAATGTTTTTTATTTAAAATGTGGTACTTTGTAACAACAACTGTAATAGATAGGAAGTTGTAGAGAATTAAGTAAGTAGGGTAATATCTCAAACAAACAAGCAATAACATAGTGGCGTACTAGATTGGTAGTAATAGAAGTAAGACGTGTTTTATATTGGCGACCAAGTAGACGAATATAAATATTCCAAAAAACAACCACATCAACTAATATTATTACATCATCAACAAAAAAACATTACCAGTTACAAGACTACTTATTAAGGTGTAGTCTACGCAGAAACATATATATTTATATACAGGAAGAAATTTTGAAAATAGGGTAAAGAGAAAATTATACAAAAAAAGGGGAAATAGTACAACGGTGACCAATATTAAATTAGATCGTTATATATGAAGGAGATTAGGTGAAAATGAAAAATAAATTACCAACCAACGTATCTCTTTACTAATAGACTTTATGAAATAATAATAATGAAAAAATAATAATTGACAAATGCAATCCAATAAATACGAGAAAATTAGTAACTTAATTTTTAAAAAAAACAAGAAAGTACATTTGAATAAATTACAATAATAATAGTTAGTTAAATACAATATACATACATAGAAGACTGACTTCATGAGCATGTCAAAATATCATAAGCTTTTTTTCATTTGAACTCATTAACATCACTACTATTGCTACTACCACTAATACTACTGTTGTTGTTGTTGTTGTTGCTGTAAAGCCTGATGTTGAGCAACTTGTTGTTGATGATGGTAGGCTGCTGCTGCCATAAGACCTGCTTGTTGTTGATACTGTTGTTGTTGATGATGATGTAAAGCCATAGCTGCTACAGTTGCTGTTGTTCCTCTGGAAACAATTGCTGCATTGGTATTAGTGACGCCAGTATTTCCAGCCGCTGCAAGCATGAAACCCGGATGTTGTTGTTGTTGTTGTTGATATAATGCTGCAGCTGCAGCATTTGTAAATGCAGCTAATTGATAATTATTCACTGTTCTATTAGATCCTGGTGTTTCTTGTTGTCCTATTAAAAAATGAGCAGATTGTTGAACTCGATTAAGTTGTTCCTCTTGAACTGAATTAACAATTACAGAGGTGGCTGGTGTACCATTACCGCCACCACCGGTAGCAGCACTCGCACTCGCGCCATTGATAATAGTACCGGTGGTGTTTGACGACATCAACACGCCAGAATGTGGATTGGCGATTGATGAAGTTTGTGAAACTCCTGCTACAGCTGCCACTGCTGCTAATCTCTGCTGATGTTGTTGCTGTTGTAACAATAGCTGTTGATGTTGTAGTTGTTGTTGTGCAACAGTTTGTTGAGCATCAGCCGCCACCTGTGAATAACCTGTTACTAGTTGTAATTGTGTAGCAGCAATTGAAGAATTGTTCTGAGCATTAACATTACTCTGCTGTTGCTGGTGTTGTTGCTGGACAACGGCAACAGCTGCCGCAGCTGCTTGTGCTTGAGCAGCAGCTGCTAATGCAAAACTAGCTGGGTCAGTTGAAGAAGCCAGAAACAAACCAGCAGCCATTCCTTCTTGTGGATGACAGAAGAATGTAGTTGGACCAGATGGTGTTGCAACAGTACCTGTCGAGTTAACGCTAGCACTAACTCCAGCAGCAGGGAAAAGAAAACTGTGCGCTGCTTGTTGATGGGCTGCTAAAGCCACAGCCTGTTGTTGTTGCTGTTGTAATTGGAATTGCTGTGTTTGATTGACAGTTGATTGATTACAATTACCATGATTAGAAACTGCAACTAAATGTGTACCAGCAGCAGCGGCAGCCGCAGCAGCTGCCACTGCATAGTTAGCCTGTTGTTGTTGATGCTGCTGTTGTAAAAGTTGTTGATGTTGAACAACTGCTGCTTGTTGTTGCTGCAATTGTTGAAGTTGGTGTTGCTGTTGTTGTTGAGCTGCAGTAGCATGAAATCCAACAACTTGAGGGAAAATTGTTTGATTAGTCTAAATATAACAACACAATAATAAAACAAAAAAATGTTACAAAATTAACTGCTAGCTTGAATTTCATTTAATCTTTATTTGATATAAATAAATAAATAAACGAATTTCTCACTAAGCTATCTATCAAAAATGTGTAAGTCCCACTAATTAAACTACTGCTTATAAATTCTATCGTTTTTTTAAATTATAAAATACACTTTCTACCTTTATCATGACGTATTTTAAAAAGAAAAAAATCTTTAACTCAGATTTATTTAAAGGTTTTCTTAATTTTCACATTCCATGTTATTAGTAATTCATTAGCAGTTATATTTTACATTAGAAGCGGTGTATCTCAGTGATTATTGCGTTTCGAACCCACAACTCGACTTGCTTCGATTTGGGTAACTATGTAGTATCATTACATTTCATCTTAGTTCTAATGTGGCTTGAAGTTTACTAAACAAACCTATACCTGGGAGACAAGTAATGAATTTAATTATTTCATTTACATAAAGTGAGATCGGACAAGAGGTAATTCACACCATAATTTTAATACGAATGATCAAAAATACAATTTCACAAGTACTTATTTTTAAAGGTACGAAAAAAGACAAAGGTTAACAAACATATCTTTGAAAGTTATAATCAAGTTTACTCAATAAAAAAAACACTTGCATAAGTAATGACATAATCGATGAAATATATTATATTGATAAATATAAATGATATGGACAGTGATTTAAGCTTACATAAAAAAGAATACTTAAAACTAAACCAGAGAATAATCAGCTACATGAGACTTGTAACACAAAATGATAGATCGCCTTTCATATTTCTTAAAATTTCATTCGTTCCAGTGAAGTTAAGGATGATTAATAAAATTGGGTGCACATTCAAACAATATTTACCAAAAAATAACGAATCAATTATGAAATCAGCAACTTTTGGTAAAACATAAAATACAAAATAAATATGAAGATCCAAAAACCTGTTCGATAAACAAGGAGGGTCTAACTGTATTCAAACAATATTATTTAGTAAGTCAGTAATCAATATTTAAACGACTTTCGACAGTAAGAAAACAATATGAACAGTACAACAATATATAAAAAATGAACATATAAAAACCAGTGATTGATAGATAAAAGTTTTATAAAATATAACGCATGAATAAAAGAAACTCACCAATGGATGAGCTTGACCGGACTGATTTGGTGCAGCTATATGAGTCAATACCATCATAGGACCTGAAGGAGTGGCTACTGTTTTCAATTCAGGTTGAAAATGAATTGAATTATGTGTAGGTTGAACATTAGTACCTTGTTGAACACCATTAGATGATTGTGTGACCGTAATTGATTGAGCAAGAGCTGGCATAGCAGCCATGGCAAAAAATTGTTGGTGTTGTTGCTGTTGTAAGGTAATTCCTGATGGATGAATTGCTGCTACAGAAGCTACACTGACACTTGGTAACATGACAGTTCCAGCCGCTGCTTGTTGTTGTTGAACAAGATGATGATGATGAGCAGTCATTGTAGGAAACATTAGACCAGAAGCATTAGCTGCAAAAATCGGATGAGCTGCTTGAGTCATACCAGCAGGTGATAGTGAAACAGTTATAGGAGTAAAATTAACTGCAGATGATGCTGACGTTGTGGTTGCAATCATTGAGACTGGAGTAAAAACAGTAGTTCCACTAGTGATCGATGCTATTTGATTGTTTATTTTTATATCAGATTCTGCATTATCACTTTTTCGCACACCACTAACAGTTTTTCCATTATGTGATCTATTTATAGCCATATTGGTGGGAATATTATGTGAATTTTCCACTGATAACATTTCCAATTTAGTCTCATTATTATTGGACTCAGAACTATCAGTTGTAGACTTGGATTTTCGTTTAGATAAACGCAACGGCGCAGAGCCTAAGAAGATAAGATTTACAGATGAAACAAATATTGAACTTCAGATTTATAGAAGTTAAAAAATTCTTTAATTTACTATTAAACAAGAAGTGCAAGAATATAATAAAAAATTATTTCCAAAAGAAATATATATGTAATGGTGAATTTTAAAGTATAAAAAACCTGGAACTTTCTGGTTCCAGAACAAATACACCATGGAAAAGCGTTCATTTTCAAGCAATCAACAGCGACTCGTAACACCAGGATTTCATATATAAAAAACTGTCGATTCAAATTGCTTTAACTGATATGATAATATAAAACAACAGAATGAAGGACAAACACAAGTAACATCAATGATTGTAAAATAATTAATGAGAACAATATCGTTTGGAAAATAGAAAATGAAACCAAGAAACAAGATATATGTAACAATAGCAAAGTTAAAGACTTATAAGTAGAGGAAAAATATACAAACATGCGAGTCACAGTAACTGAATTTGAACAACGTCATGAAATGAATAGCAAGATTGATTCTGAATATTATATGGAAACCAAACTGAATGTTTGCACTTCCTCAAACAACGAGGACCAACTATTGGTGACTACATCGACTGAGAATGTGTGACAAAAGTTAGGAAATAAACTACAAAGTGCGAAAAAGCTACCATATTTTCCTAATTAGGTAACCCGAATGCCCTGGTACAGCCAAGGGTGGAAAGACTCCACCCTCCTCGAAATGCTCTCACATGGCCACGTGCATACAACCACTGTCACAGAAGTCCTACTCACCACCTTCTCACAAAGGGGGTGTTGTTTACGAAATTGAGAGGACGAAAAGTGAATGTCTGGCGCTTTAATCGGGTTGGTGGACATGGAGGATTTACCGAGAGGAGTTGGAAAACCCTGATTGCAAACAAATAGTGCACATGGGCTCCAGGATCCTGAGGGAGCAAATGGCGTATGAACTTATTGATCGTCACTGATTACCATGGGACTGCGTCTCCCAAAGTCACTCCACTGACTTGTGGATCATACCTTTACGTCGATGGTTCCGGGTGTGGCCCCCTAAGAAAACTACCTGCTTCGGTGTGGGCGCATGAGTAGTATCACAGCCCACACACAAATCAAATGAAGATCACTACTGGAAATATTATTCTTGCTTCAATCGGCGTTCAGATAAATCACATTGACAATCATTTCTATTTTTTATATACTACGTCACATATCTACTCCCTTGTATTCTCACTGTGTATCCTTATTTTTCAACTTACACAGCGGCCCGCCTATGGTGGAAACCTTGTACTATCTAAACGATCTCGAGTCACTGACTGGTCGAAAGTTGGATGCTATCACCGAATACGAATACCGAAAGTCTTTCTGAAACCGCATTAATATGCTTGAACTAAGTCGATTTTTCGCGGTAACGAACCAAAGCCAATGACACAATGACACGATAAACTATTCTAATCTGTTGTCCCAGGCCCCGCTAACTAGATGAAGAAGTCCAAGGCAAGTAGGGGAATATATATATTCCGTAAGCAGCCGAGTACAAGCAATCAAATAAGGGAAAAAGTCAAGCGTATATATACAGCAATAAATTGTCCTTGGGCATCATTAATAAATAACACACACAAAGAAACAATGGACCAATAGCGTTTAAGATAGTTTACAAGTGGGAAATATGACGTGAAGGTAAAAAGAGCGCGTTTGGCGCGAAAACAGCTAAATTTAAATTTCCAAAATAAAATTACAAAACTAAGCCATTTACCAAGTAAGTTCTGGGGATTTGACATCCCCAACACGCGTATACTATTCAAACTGGTTTCCCTCAACGTTCGCACACTAATGCAAATCGAACGACGTATACGGTTGACTATGTCTTGAGAAAGCCTTAATATCGATTTCCGTTGTTTGTCCGAAACCTGTAGTCAAGACCCCAGTGAAGTACTACAAATCCGCCTCACATCTATCGCTTCGAAAATCCTGTTTCACATGCGTTTATCCGGGGGGCTCTGTGGCATCTTCGTCTGGTTTTGCTGGCGTTCGTGTCGCAGTAAGCGCTTGAGCTGAGGCAGCACTAACCGATTGGATCCCCATTGACAGTCATTTATGTGCTTTTAGATTAGAAAGCTCCATCAAAGCGCGAAGAAATGGGTGTAAGAAACGATGTTTTTCGTCATTCATCCCTACGCTCCGACATTGTAGTGCCAGCCAGATACTTGAATACTCAGGCCGGGAGTCTAGGCACAGAAGAGAGTCGTTTAGGTGGCCGATGGGGACTTGTTGGTCACAGGTCAGATAACGGAGACCGTCTACTGCAACTTTGTGCAGACCACAATCTGTTTCTGGCTAGCATTAACTACTGGGACAGTCATCGCCGATGTGCTACCTGGCATCCTCCTTCTGCATCTTAAGCCTGGACTCAGATTGATCACACCGCAATCAGCTACCGCTAACGTGGTTGTGTACAAGACTGCCGCTTCTTTTGGAGCACCTATCCGAACTCTGATCATTACCTTGTTTGCGCTAGTTTACCTTACGTTTCAGTGGCCAACAAATTCATCGTCATAAACAGATTGATGTCAGTAAATTGGTTGCAATTTCTATTACAACTAAATATCGAACCGAGCTAGGTTAAAGACTAGATACTAGCCCACCGAAAAGTAAAGATGAGTATTTGTTGCAACTGTATGATGCCATGAAAATGGTGAATAAAGTCGCTTGCGGCTTCGCAAAACGTCCCGCTTATAAGCACTGGGTTCCTTCAGGCTCCCTACAACCCATCAAAGCACGTCGGTCTACTCCGGGTGACCACAAGTTTGACCACAAACGGCGATTGTTACGTAATGAAATTGGGCAAAGCTTGCTTAAGGACCGAGAAGCCCGGTGGTTGGAGAGTGCCCACAAGTTGGAAGCAGAATCTGCATATGGTAAACGCCGGAAGCTCTCATCCAAGTCACTTTCATCAAGAAGTCTGGTGTGAATGAAGCAATTTGTACCGTCGTATCGGACGATGTTCAGCTATCCGAGGAGCAGCTCGAGTGGTCTGTTGCCCCGGCAACATCGATCAGACTGTCCTACCCTTCATGAGCTGTGACGACTGACCAACCTAACGAGGTGGAAGTCCGCGAGGAACTCCAGTTCTTGAAGCACTAAGACTCACCAGGCCCAGATGACTTTCCTCCGGCTCTTTTTAAAGATGGTGGCAAATTTCTGGTTAAGGTCTATGGATTAGAGTTTTAACATCACGGAATGAGTCAATTGTTGTCCCTATCCTTAAAGAGTTCAGGTTGTTCCTGTAACAAAAATCGGGAGATAAGTCTACTTTCGATAGCGCCCAAACTGTTGGCTTCCGTCCTACTTCGTAGATTGTTCGAAACTCGAGAGAGATTGACTCGCAAGGAGCAGGCTGGTTTTCGTTTTGGTCGAGGATGTATTGATCATATCTTTAACCCCCCCCCCCAAATGCTAGAATACCGTCACACTTATTACAAGCCAACATTCGTACTCTTACTTGACATTAGATCCGCCTTCCATTCGTTGGACTGGGCTGTTTTCTGAGAAGGGTATGCCTGAGAAGTTTATTAACATCTTAAAGGCTCTATATACAAACACCTCAGGCAGAGTGAGCGTATATAACCACCTATCTCAATTGTTACATTCAAGCAATGGGGTTAGACAGGGTTGCCCAATCTCACCGTTCCTCTTCAACTTTTCCACTGATGACATTCTGGAAACAACTCTGACGTATGTGTGTAATGGCGCTGTAGATCTGTTGCCCGGATAAAGACTTATCGACCTCGAGTATGCGGATGATATTGTCTTACTTTGCGATAATGCCAAAGCCATGCAATCCGCACTTAATCAGTTGGCAATCAGTGTCCACAGGTATGGTATGTGCTTTGCTCCTTTGAAGTGCAAAGTACTCTTACAAGACTGGCAGGATTCTAATCCTTTACTCACCTTGAGTGGTGAGCAGATTGAAGTAGTTGAGAAGTTCGTGTACCTAGGTAGCTGCATAAACGCTGGTGGTGGCGGGAGTGATGAGATCGATGCACGTATAGTGAAAGTCAGAGCGGCTTATGACAATATGGACCATCTTTGGCACCTTCTTGACGTTAGTTTAGCTGTAAAAGGATGGATCTACAACGCGTCGGTGAGGGCAGTTATGCTGTATACCTGTGAGATCTGATCTCTACGAGTTGAGTATGTTAGGCGACTTTTTTAATCTTTGTTGTCTCCATAAATTAGTTTTCATTAAATGGCAATATTATGTTAGAAGTTCGGAGGTTCAATGCCATGTTTTTGAGTACAGAGACGATAATACAACTGGTGTCACCATTTTGAAACACCGACTTCGGTGACTTGGACATGTCCTAGGAATATCGTTCCAGAAAATTCCACACCGTGCACTATTCGCTGACATTGGGAACGGTTGGAAAAAGCAGATAGTCAATGCACGTATCGTGATATGAAAGAAAGATGTACAGTACTGGCTTCTGTTGGACCTTCACGACTTCCCGGTTGGGATCCTAGAGATGATGCGACACAGTGGCTTAAGGCGTTATCAGACAAGGCTAAAAAATAAAAGCCAGTGGCGATTATGTTGTAACTTTCTTCATAAAAGTGAACGTAACTTGGTTAACTGAAAGAATTATTTCCGGTTGTATTTTTGCTAACTGAACATTTTCTTTTATTACTAATATTATTATAATATCATCATTATTATTATTTCACTCCCATACACTAATTTCTGTTCGTCGTTGTCCTCCTTTTTCTTATACGCACTATATCTTCACCACAACCTCGTTGTTATTGTGTGGTGTCCCTTTGTACCAATATTTATGTGTTCAAATAAATAAATAATAAGATATTTTGGAATAATTTTTATCACAGAATTTATTGGAGGTAAATCTTTTGCTATGCTGTAATTTTTCTCCCATTACGACTGACTGCTATACACTTGACACGCCCGCAGCACGATGGAATAATATTTTTGTCGTAGAAAACTTTACATTTTTCATGTAAGCCAGTAAAAACAACAGATAAGGAAATACACCCTCCATTATGGATTATAACAGTGTAAATAGTTTCCCACTTCGTTTTGGTTGGTTGTCGTGTGCAAGGTCGAAAATGTGCACAGGTGACAAGTCCTTCAACTAACACGACCTTAACAGCCCATTCATCATTTTTTATAAATAACCTTAGTGGTATTTACTAGGATCTCAAAAGGCGTGAGAAACTAATTACATGAAAATATAACTAACCTGGCGCTTTCCGTTTTATTGTCATATTTATCCCAACTCCTGGCTCACCTTGATGTACTCCACGTATATGTCTGTTAAGATCAGATTTTTGAACAAAAGGTTGCTGACACTGTTGACACTCAAAATTCCGAGCTGCACGATCATGATGTTTCAAATGATCTTTAAGTTTATCTCTGATAAAAGAAATGGATTAAAGATACGTAAGTAAATATTGAAGTCATCCGCGCGTGCAGCCCAATATATGTCAAGAAACTTTATCAAGGAAATTTAAGAGGGATATAATCCATAACTGGACTGAAGACTAATTGGACAGATTTCTTGTAATCGATTGCTAGCAAATGTTCACTATGTTAAGACCAACAATCACATGAAAACCGACTACTGACATTATTCAACTGCTTGAATTTTAGGTTTTAATCCGCAACTAAAAACAGATAAGCTTTTGAAACAAATGAACCACGTTTTCACGTTTTGCATATTTTACTGCATAGACTCACTAACTATGATTGTAACGATCCAGTTAAACCCTATGACCAACTTCAGTTGACCGTTGAGTGAGTAGCTGATGTATGACTTAATAAGTAGTATCCAGAGGTTCTTGAAACCGTGACTTTCAAATTTGCTGGAAGTTGGAGTCTCCAATTCAGACTTTCATTACGGTTGTGGGTGGATACAGGGCAACTGAAAAGAAGCAGGATGTTAAATTGAATGATTCCTTGAAGTTGATGATATGATATTTATCGTTTGATAGGAGTAAATTAAGATTTCACCTTTTCCATAAGATAATGCTGAAAACTGGAAATTTTAATCTTTGAATTTTCGATAAGTCTAAACTGTCATACAGTATATCACTGCAAATTTTTACAGAGCTGGAGTTGAAAACAAGATAAACAATGACGATCCAGACAACTTAGATGAGCAACTGAAGAACCTAATAAACAACTCGGTCATATAAAACATTTTAAGTGATTATGTTTGAAGTACTATCCCCATATTTGTCTAAACCTTACCATTGTAAATTTATTATTATTCATTATTATTTGAACACATAAATATATATATATGAGCCATACTAAAAACTGTCATTTCATTTAATTGTGTGTGGGCTGTGATACTACTCATGCGCCCACACCGAAGCAGGTAGTTTTCTTAGGGGGCCACACCCGGAACCATCGACGTAAAGGTATGATCCACAAGTCAGTGGAGTGACTTTGGGAGACGCAGTCCCATGGTAATCAGTGACGATCAATAAGTTCATACGCCATTTGCTCCCTCAGGATCCTGGAGCCCATGTGCACTATTTGTTTGCAATCAGGGTTTTCCAACTCCTCTCGGTAAATCCTCCATGCCCACCAACCCGATTAAAGCGCCAGACATTCACTTTTCGTCCTCTCAATTTCGTAAACACCCCCGCCACGAGAAGGCGGGTGGAAAATTCAAGACAGAAATTTTTAACTCTCTTTGTTTATAGGAAGGTAGAGTTATATAGTTAGTTAGTTACACCTACTGACAGGGTTAGTGATACTTCCTGGTCGCCCAAACTGAAGTAGGCAAATATTCATTTAAACTGGTGGCTTTTCAGTCGAAAGTCAAGTGCTCTAATTCATTAGTTATTGCTTCGCCTCAATAGTTAAACGACAAAACACTTAAGAAATAAAACAATTTGAGCCAAAATTAATCTAATAGTGACAAAGAAAAAAGTTGACTTACTTTCGGGAAAAAGCTTTACTACATATATGACAAACATGAGGTTTTTCAGCCGTATGGATAGACATCACATGACGCTTAAGTTTGTCTTCTCGTACAAAGCTGCGACCACAAGTGTCACACATATGTTTTGGTTCTTCATGCATAACTCGATGTTTCAGAAGTAAAGCCTTTTGTGAAAACGTTTTATTGCATGATAAACATAAGAATTCACCCTTCACATCCGTTTTATTCCAGTTATTAGGAGAAGCATTAGATAAGCTTCTGGATAGGTGATCCTCTGAACAAATTTCACCATCTGAAGATTCATTAGCCACCAGAGAGTGATGAAAGCGAACGCGATCCTGATTATTACCAAAAAACACAATAGGTATTTGATCCTAGATTATTGACAATAATTCAAGATAACAAATGTAGCTTTAAAAAAAATTATTTCTAAATATTTAAATTACATGTGGTAATTAAAACACTAATATGAAAATAAATGAGATTACCTGTGTTGTTAACGAAATAATCGGACTTGGAACGTTACATTACTATATTTCGAAGGTAAATACTGAGGATTTGTCAACGTATTTTAGTATCAATTACAACTTTTCACATTATTCCTGTACTGTTTTTTTACTAGATAGCGAGACAGGAATTTAAGCTCTGGAATAAAATCATTATAATTATTTAAACACGTAAACATTGGTACAACGAAGCATCAAATATACATATACGCCAGACAAATCATTTGATTTAGATTGAGGGCTGGGATAGTGTCCAGGAGCCCAAATCGAATCAGGAAGGATAAAATAACTTTTTTGATTTACTGTACGAAGTATCAACGCTACGAACAATGTCGACAAAATAACATGCTATAACGTCATAATTCCCTTTGAGATCAAGCCACATGCTGGAATTGCGAAATTCGCACACCATTAAAATCGTTTTAAAAATACATGTATTTTCGACATCTGGGGTAAGGTAATTGTCTAATAATTAACTGAGTTCAATATCACAGTTGCGATAATACATATAAGGTCCCGCACAATCATCAATAAAAATCACCTCCGTTCTATTCTAACGTATTTGCGATGATCGACGACATTAATAACCTGCATCCTTGATAAACAGAATGAACTGAGGGCACTTAAAAATTAAGATTCGTGTTAGTTGACATGGTTATATAATGTAAGATTAGTTAGTAGGATTGAATACTGCACTACTGTTGAGAACTCGGCAATTTTCAATTTTTTAAATTAAGCTAATACATATTACCAGAAAATGTAAACCTTTAAACAAGTATCGAGCAGCTTCACACCATTAAAAAAGTAAACGAACGAGTGATCGCACAGTGAATTCTGACGTTATTTTTATTTCCAATTCCATGCATAAATTTTGAGATAATCACGAATTTTATCCCAGTGTGAAATTTCAGAGGCTTATACTTTAACTTGTCTATAACATCACGTCAAGAATAAATAACCTATATCTCAACTACACTAAATTTATCTATAGAGCTTGACCATCTGATAAGGCTTCTCGGTCCTTAAGCAAGCTTTGCCCAATTTCATTACGTAACAATCGCCGTTTGTGGTCAAACTTGTGGTCACCCGGAGTAGACCGACGTGCTTTGATGGGTTGTAGGGAGCCTGAAGGAACCCAGTGCTTATAAGCGGGACGTTTTGCGAAGCCGCAAGCGACTTTATTCACCATTTTCATGGCATCATACAGTTGCAACAAATACTCATCTTTACTTTTCGGTGGGCTAGTATCTAGTCTTTAACCTAGCTCGGTTCGATATTTAGTTGTAATAGAAATTGCAACCAATTTACTGACATCAATCTGTTTATGACGATGAATTTGTTGGCCACTGAAACGTAAGGTAAACTAGCGCAAACAAGGTAATGATCAGAGTTCGGATAGGTGCTCCAAAAGAAGCGGCAGTCTTGTACACAACCACGTTAGCGGTAGCTGATTGCGGTGTGATCAATCTGAGTCCAGGCTTAAGATGCAGAAGGAGGATGCCAGGTAGCACATCGGCGATGACTGTCCCAGTAGTTAATGCTAGCCAGAAACAGATTGTGGTCTGCACAAAGTTGCAGTAGACGGTCTCCGTTATCTGACCTGTGACCAACAAGTCCCCATCGGCCACCTAAACGACTCTCTTCTGTGCCTAGACTCCCGGCCTGAGTATTCAAGTATCTGGCTGGCACTACAATGTCGGAGCGTAGGGATGAATGACGAAAAACATCGTTTCTTACACCCATTTCTTCGCGCTTTGATGGAGCTTTCTAATCTAAAAGCACATAAATGACTGTCAATGGGGATCCAATCGGTTAGTGCTGCCTCAGCTCAAGCGCTTACTGCGACACGAACGCCAGCAAAACCAGACGAAGATGCCACAGAGCCCCCCGGATAAACGCATGTGAAACAGGATTTTCGAAGCGATAGATGTGAGGCGGATTTGTAGTACTTCACTGGGGTCTTGACTACAGGTTTCGGACAAACAACGGAAATCGATATTAAGGCTTTCTCAAGACATAGTCAACCGTATACGTCGTTCGATTTGCATTAGTGTGCGAACGTTGAGGGAAACCAGTTTGAATAGTATACGCGTGTTGGGGATGTCAAATCCCCAGAACTTACTTGGTAAATGGCTTAGTTTTGTAATTTTATTTTGGAAATTTAAATTTAGCTGTTTTCGCGCCAAACGCGCTCTTTTTACCTTCACGTCATATTTCCCACTTGTAAACTATCTTAAACGCTATTGGTCCATTGTTTCTTTGTGTGTGTTATTTATTAATGATGCCCAAGGACAATTTATTGCTGTATATATACGCTTGACTTTTTCCCTTATTTGATTGCTTGTACTCGGCTGCTTACGGAATATATATATTCCCCTACTTGCCTTGGACTTCTTCATCTAGTTAGCGGGGCCTGGGACAACAGATTAGAATAGTTTATCGTGTCATTGTGTCATTGGCTTTGGTTCGTTACCGCGAAAAATCGACTTAGTTCAAGCATATTAATGCGGTTTCAGAAAGACTTTCGGTATTCGTATTCGGTGATAGCATCCAACTTTCGACCAGTCAGTGACTCGAGATCGTTTAGATAGTACAAGGTTTCCACCATAGGCGGGCCGCTGTGTAAGTTGAAAAATAAGGATACACAGTGAGAATACAAGGGAGTAGATATGTGACGTAGTATATAAAAAATAGAAATGATTGTCAATGTGATTTATCTGAACGCCGATTGAAGCAAGAATAATATTTCCAGTAGTGATCTTCATTTGATTTGTGTGTGGGCTGTGATACTACTCATGCGCCCACACCGAAGCAGGTAGTTTTCTTAGGGGGCCACACCCGGAACCATCGACGTAAAGGTATGATCCACAAGTCAGTGGAGTGACTTTGGGAGACGCAGTCCCATGGTAATCAGTGACGATCAATAAGTTCATACGCCATTTGCTCCCTCAGGATCCTGGAGCCCATGTGCACTATTTGTTTGCAATCAGGGTTTTCCAACTCCTCTCGGTAAATCCTCCATGTCCACCAACCCGATTAAAGCGCCAGACATTCACTTTTCGTCCTCTCAATTTCGTAAACAACACCCCCTTTGTGAGAAGGTGGTGAGTAGGACTTCTGTGACAGTGGTTGTATGCACGTGGCCATGTGAGAGCATTTCGAGGAGGGTGGAGTCTTTCCACCCTTGGCTGTACCAGGGTATTCGCGGTGACAATTTACATTTTTTTTGTTTAAAAGTGCATAATTCACTCTGGAATCAGTGGACGTGAATTCGACTATTGGAGTTTTTGTATTTTGGCAAACTTTTCATCTGTGATATCAAACTATTTAAAGCCACAGCGACCTGCAGACCACAATATATATTTTCCGATCCTCACTGTTAAGAGAACCAGTGTAAAATAAGCTAGTGATATTTATTCACATCATATGCTTATTAGTGCTTATAAGGACTATATTTTAACCATGTAGTACGTTTATGTAGTTAAAAAGTCAAGGTTTGTTGCAACTGGAAAAGTTTTGTTCCTCATGTAAGGAAAACGAGAACATGAGCACAATTACAAAATGAAACATGAATCATAGGAAACAGATGATCAGATAAATACGAAGAATTTTCTACGCTACTACTTGGTTTCGAAAAAAGAACTTTAACTTAACACAATTGATATGCAAAAAGTGCAATGACATTTAGCATCAAAATTTAAAGTTATGTTTAAATCTAATGAACTCACGGAGTTTTTGCTAGTATTCACAAAGCTTGTGTTGCACAAATCTGAATTGGAAGTATTCATGTGTGAATTATTGAATTCATTATGAACTGGAGCTAAGCTTAAACTATACAGACGATCTGTTCCTGTGCCTTCTAAGGCCGGGTCAAGAGTTAAAGATGGGTCAGGTTTACGATTACCAGCTAGTGCATATACCACATCATCAACAGCAGCAACTGCAGCAGCTGCGTAATCAGCATCGTTATACACTTTTTCGTCGTCTTCTCTATGGGATGAATGAACAGAAGGAGAATGCCCACTGGGTTCAACTGGATCTTCTAAACTGTCATTATGGTGCTCTGATGTGAGTAAATTTTGATCTTCATTACTGATATTAATCTGAACATCATCCTTTGTTGGTGACTCTGAAATTATAGAAGCCTTGGTAACTGGAGAACTTTCAGTTTCACATGGTTCTTGGAATGTGGGGTCCTCAACTAAAGGGGACACAGATGTAGCTGTTTTAAACTTGTTATCGTCATCAGCAGACTGGATAAAACAATCATTTTTCTGACTCTCTATTTCACACTTGAGGTCAATAGAGCTCTCAGCAGGCGCCACTACAGAAGATATAAGTTTCGTATTTTCAGAGAACTGAGCTGTTGTTGCTTTGACACTAATTGACGACTCGTGTGGTAGTATCACAGAATTAGTATTATGGTTTACGTCAGAAACATCGACGTAAACATCAGGGAAATCTGGTTCGGCAGAACACATGGCAGATGTTTTCGAAGACGCTAACTCGCCACTATCTGCTGAAGAAGGAACTTTATCTGAATGAGGAATACATCCAAGTTCAATGTTCACTACTGTATCGACACGAAAATCGTCAGACGTTTTTAAAAAGTACTCATCGTCAACAGCCGGTAATGAAGCTGAATGTGATGAAATAACTTGTTCTAAATCCATTAAATTTTCGTCTGTCGCTTTAGATACAGAATCAAAATTGTTATCCGTAATTGAACATCCTTTTGCTGCCTGAACATTTGGTTCACAAGTAGTAGTATTTGTCCAGTTATGTGTAAGACTATCCGATACATCTGTTACATTCGCTGATGAGCAGACAGTATACTCCTTTGATACAACAACAGGGCTAAAAACTGTTGTTGCGGTATGTTCACCGATTGGTAAACACGAGGATGTGGTAGTATGGCCAGATGAGTTGCATTCTGAAACTACTTTAGGAGAGCTTAGTGATACACATGAAGCATGAACTGTATCCTTCAGAAGTAAAAGATTTGAATTAAAAACCTGATCATCATGACTTTGACGAGTTACATAATCGTCCATATGTACAGGCGGTGTATTTGGTGGGGGAAAGTGAGAAACTGACGCGAGAGAAGAATTTGTACGTTCATTCTCGATAGAATGAGATTCGCAGGATAAATTATGGTGAAGCATATCGGACGTATGTCTACCATCTAAATGTGTCCGAACAGGGGAATGAGATCGGAATGTCAGAGGAGAGCTGCATGGAGTGGAAACACTGGAGGATAACAAATAACTAGTAGACACAGACTGTGTTGTGGGTGTTGGGATTAGGATTGCGAGAGGGTCATCGCTATGTGCATAAGGCGTTCTTGACAAACTATGACTCGAAACTAACATAGGAACACTATCTACTGAGTGAATGACCTGAGTTTGATCGCAAACACCAACTGACATTGGTCTGCAAGTGATTGTGTCCATAAGTCGATTACTTCTTGAATCAGGTGGAGTGTTAAGACCAGAGGAAGAGCGAACTGGCGGTGAACCTTGATGAACCCTGGAGTCGGCAGCGGCAACAGCGGCTGCTGCTGCCAAGAGTGAACGTACATCTTCATCATCATCGACTAAGGGTGACACATCAGGAGAGTGTTTAATGCATAAACCAAGATCATCTGTGAAAGGCAACAAACGATTTGAAGAATTTCCAGGCGCTATTGTGGTCAAAGAGAGGGACGGTGTGAGGTCGTCCAAGACATTGGAAGCATGTTCCGGACAGGTAATCCCCAAAGATGTTGGGTGTGAATATTTTGAAGAACCCGGCTGAATAGATCCAATGCTGACATCAATGTGGACGGTATTCGTAACGCCACTTTCAGTGACGGAAATAGAGGTGGGCACCTGTGAAAAATTTTAAGTTGGGTAGAACTTTGAGTAGAGAAAAGCGGTTCAAAATACTTAAAATCAACCAATTTACCGGAGGAAAAACATACAACTTACGTGTATTTCAGTGTTTGTATCTAAATGAACAACATAACTAGGAGCAATAATTGGCGTCTTACTAAACTTAAATTTATAGCAGATTGTGTTCTGAGGTACAAGACAACAATAAATCTGAGTGAAAAAAATCTGATTCCAACAACATATGTAGGCAACGATCCTAATAAAAAATTTTAATGTTCATATCTATGTAAAAACAAATGCAATGTAGTCCTTAAATATATTTACTACCTGGGTGCTAGTTCACACAAAAAACGGGGAGATCGAGATCCATAAATTGATAATATCTCATTGCTTAATAATTAACAAAGTAGAAAAAGGAGCACGCACATCGGTTATGCAGTTAATATTAACACCGTAAAGGGAAACAACAACGGAAAACAAACACTAATATCGATGATTATAAAATAATAAATGAAAATAATATCGTTTGGAGAATAGAAAATGAAACCAAGAAACAATATATATGTAACAATAGCGAAGTTTAAGATTTATAGGTAGAGGAAAAATATACATAAATGGGAGTCACTGTAGTTAAATTTAAACAATGTCATACAATGTATCCCACCATTGATTTAGTCAGTCGGTCGCCAACAACGTAGAACTTCGTACGTACGTACATCGGTTCAATTTTTCGTACCACATTACCACAGAGATGTAGTTGTCGATTCAAAACCCATAGTGGTAAAGGCAGTAAAATTATTAATTAAATTATCAATTAAATATAATTCGGCTTCGTAATACCATCAGTTTGTATTGAATTATATAAATTCGAATTGTGAACTACTACTCTTTTCTGTAAAACGTGGTATTCATGTGTGATAGGAATCAACAGTCAGTCACAACGTAGAACTTCGTACGTACGTACATCAGTTCGAGTTGCCATAACACATTAACACAGAGATGCAGTTGTCGATTCAAATCCCATAGTGGTAGAGGTAGTAAGAGTATAAACAGTAATCCGAAAGATTAGGGTTTGAAGATTTTATTCAAGGAGTATAATCCAGTGAAATAAATTTGGAGAGAGAAAAATATAAAGACATGAGGAATTCAGAAGATTAGAATTTGGTAGATCACAAAGAGTGGATGCACCTTCGCCATTGCAAACGATTTTGAGGCATGTCACTCAAGGTCTCTAACCAACCATTGCTATAATCTCGCGAACCCCAACCAGGTAGTCTACACCTACCAACATGGCTCAGTCCACTTGTCAGTGACTTCATGGATTTGTGCCACGTTTTGGTTTGGCCGCCCCTAGCTTTCTTCTAACCTACTCCCACACCCGCCATAAAACACTGCACGTCGGGGCAGTCGGGGTTGAGCATACGTAACACATGCCTCAGCCATCTCAACTGATGAAGTTTCACTACTTCATCAATCGATTTGCCATCCTTAACTAGTACCCGTTTCCTAACAACTGCATTACTTACTTGGTGGTCCCAGGATATACGAGCAATGCTTCGAAGACACCTATGATCGAATACTAGTAGCCTACGAATATCTTCTACTCTTGCCGACCAGGTTCCACTGCCATAAAGTAAAAAGGAACGAATTGCTGTGCAGTAAACCCACCATTTGATTGGTGGACGGGTATCTCGCCTACGCCATAAATGACGCAAGTTGGCGAAAACTAGACGAGCCTCCTGTATCCCTGCTGAGATTTCGTCACACACCAGACCTCAAGGGCTGACAAGACTCCCAAAATGAGTGAGGCGATCGACACGCTCAACTACTTCACTCCGTATCACTAGTTCAGGTGCCGATGCAACCCAATCCTGAAGAAACATTTTGCACTTCGAGGGAAAGAATCGCATCTCGAACATACCTCCATAGTTGCTTATAGTGGTCAGAAGACTCTGCATTTCGTCAGCATCTTCACCAAATAAAACTATGTCGTCGGCGTATTCTAAGTCAACAAGGGAATCTCCTGGTAGAAGTTCAACTCCAAGTATTGTTGAAGCTAATATTTTAGACACTATATTAGTCAAACCGACTCATCTTTGATTGTCATAAAAGAACTTTTGTCCTATCTTATAGACTGGAACAATCAGTGATTAAGACCAGTCAGATGAAATTACGTCCAGTTCCCAGATTCTACCCAAGAACTCAGTCAATCTCACTGCCAGTATGGAACCGTCATTCTTAAAAATCTCAGGGGTAAACCTGTTAGGACCTGCTGCTCTCCCTCGCTTCAGATTTCCTATAGCTTTTACAACTTCGTTAAGAGTTGGAGGACTTACATCAACTTGCCATCCAGGTTGACTGGAGATCATGGGAAGCTGAAGTAAGGCTGAATGCCAGTTGAACCGATCCCTAAAGTGTTCTCTCCACCGATCCAATCTCCTGGATTGAGACTGAATGATATGTCCATCTTTATCCGAGATAGTTTCACCAACAGTTGAATTCCGAACACCTGTTTCCTTGACAAAGCTGAACGGTTGTCTGCTGTTATCTATCGCCACTGTCTTTTCCATCTCTCTTGCTTTCGCTACCCAACACTTCGCAATCATTGCGTAGGCTTCTTATTAGCATGTGCTTAAGCTGACTCCGCTCCTCGTCATGTTCACAGCCAGATGGGATGAGTTTTCAAGCATTTATCAGTGCGGTAGATGCTGCTGAGATCCAGTATTTCTCCCTAACCTTATGGTTTGTCTTACTGGCAGATATCACTGCTGTTCTCACAGCTTCTCGGATATCATTCCAAGCTGCCTCAGAGTGGGCATCACATATATGCCTGCCTCACTTTTTTCTACTTGTGCCTGAAATATTCTTAGCTTGATTATCATTAAGTAGAACTCTAAGAGGTCTCCTTGAAGTAACTTTCCTACGTCCAGTAAGACGCAGACAAATATGCGCACGCACTCGAGCATGGTCTGAATCAAATTATATGCTTCAGAACGAGCGAGTCTTCTATCGAGCCCCTCCATCGGTGAATGATACCGATGTGATCTAGTTGGGTCCAACGTTGGGACGAATTTTGGGGGTCGCCATGTCAAAAGATGTTTTTCCCTGTGCTTAAAGTTAGTATTTACTACAAACAGGCGGTTATCTGAGCATAGCTGAAACAGACGGTCGCCATTATCTGTTCTTTCATCCACGACACCATAAGATACACTCAGGTGTCTTTTCTTTTCGCTTAGTTTACCTACTTGAGCATTAAAGTCACCAGCCACTATTACTACATCAGAACGCCTAGCTTTTCGGAAAAGGTCAGAAAGTTTCCTGTAAAACTTATCTTTTATATCGTCTGAGCTGCAGTCAGTGGGAGAGTAGGCAGAGACGACGAAGAAGCAACGACGAGTTTCCATATCTTTCCGAGTCCTTACTGATCCGTTTAGTCGGACAGCGCACAGACGACTGTCTACTAGGATCCAGTCTAAAAGAGCTAGTCCTGCTCTAGGACTCAATGCTATACCTACACCAGCGAGGCCACGGGAAGCAGCATCAGGGCTTCCAGATACGCGAAGTGTGAATCAAGATGGTTCTTTATTTTGATATGGTGAGGTCAAATGAATGACGCTACTCGGATTCTGTATGTGCGTTTCCGAGACGCAGTACACATCAATGGCACGAGATTACGAATTCGGAGTTAAGGAAGCCTGTTGTCCTATATGGCACAATGTTCGGACATTAAAAGTTCCTACATGTAGTTTAGAGCGTGGTTTCAGGAAACTAGGAATAACGTCCCGTGTACTCAAATCGTTTGCCCTAACGGTGCGAGGTGATAAAGGAACGTAAGAAGGGTTAGTCCTGACGATAAGAGAATTATCAGGTGTAGTAAGGATTTGGTTGTGACCAACTTGGTCTCGAGTGCCGTTACGGGTAATATCACTTCCCAGCTGCCCACACCATGGAAGGGTATTTCTTGAGGGACCTGAAAAAAAAGTTGGATTAGTGTTGGTCTTAACGACCTGGGAGCGTGGCCGCAGAGCCCAAGGGACAACTGCTTGAGGCCGGTCACGTACGGCCTTTTTGTGGGAATTTTTAAACGTGCTAGTTCCGTTCTTCAAAAGGCCTTACCGCCGGAGATGGAAATCCGTGAGGTGGGGTGAGGCGTGACATTTTTAGGGTCGACCTTTCCTAACCCTTTCCTTCCCTGAGAGAAGGCAGCATTGCTGCAGATGCTGGTTGTCCGAGGGAAACAACTTACTGCTGTCACAGCCCTCTACAATCAGCAGTGGGACTCCGCCCTTAGACCTTGAGTTGTTGCCTTTAGCCTTACCGTTCTCCAATCAACCTGCCTGGCATGGTAGAACGTACAGGAACATATGTTCCAGCTAATATAGCTCGGTTGGGTCATCACGTTAGGCAAGCCCGAACACCACGTGAAGGTAGCTACTGTAGTCAGTCCCACCATTGATTATGAATACTATATGGACTCCAAGCTGGATGTTTGTTTGCACTTGGTAGATCGATTCCCGACGAGAACGTTATTTCCAGTAGTATGTCTGTGATGAGCCACAGATGAACAAAGTTAACAAAGCCTGACCAATTTTCTTTATTCCTATCGAAATGAAAAGTGCTTCATATCTTTCTTTTTTCCTCTTCTATATCCTTATATACAATCTTTCTTTTATGTGTTACTATCATTAAACTAACTATTTCTATGAATTCGGTGTTCATTATGTTGTGCTAATGAGGTTATGGTAACTTGTTCCGATGCATACATGTGCCTGGTCCTACGTTGTAGCTGACTGATTGATTATCAAGGTTTTTTCAGCCATCAACTAACCACGGATAATGAGACTTACAAAATCGCTCTCAGTTGGTTTAATTTCTTTAGCCAGAGTGTATTCACACATTTGTGTATAATGCAAAACCATAACATTTGGGTGTGGCCCCCTAAGAAAACCACCTGCTTCAGTCTGGGCACCTGGGCAGTATCACAGCCCTCACACAAATCAAATGAGATTTGTGTGGCGCATATTTATCTGGTGCTTCCTTGTACCAATATTTATGTGTTTAAATAAAATAAAATAAAATTCACACATTTAGGGGAAACGCACTCCAGACATTTCTACATTACTCAAGACAGGAAGAAAAGACGCATTTTGACGAAGCACTTGTCAATAATCCTATTCTATGGGTGAGCTTACAGAATGGAAATCAATTTGTGGAAAGTTGGGCGACTAAAGAGTTACTTTTACGAGTTTGTACGTCCCAAAATTAAATGAAGAAAGTAGAGTTTTTAGACCTGATACGTAGAGCATCCAACTTCTACTTCATCACGAGTTGGGGGCTGACATTCCGAGTATTCAGTAATAGTGAGTAAATGAAGAATATCTGGGGGTTAGCTAGACCTTTATGTACAATGTCCCACCTAACGTTCCATTAATCTAGTGGTAAAGGGGATCATGGTTTCGTTTCTCCTCCTGATGGTACCACTAACAACTTCCTATTCGCTTACAACGAAACGTAAATGACCCGAAAGTACGTGTATTTTGAGAACATTAGTGGGTGATTAGAACCCAAATATGCCAGTAAAATAGTCATACTCCTGCATATATATTCAGCATTGACAACTGATAGCAATCTGACAGATTTAACTTTACTTTTGAGTTTCAGGAGAATGCTACATCTCAAATCGGCATCAGAAGTTAGGTTGTTGGGGATATGAACTCACATATCCCAACTTACGAGAAACAAATCAATTTCAGAGTGAAATTCTGGCATAGTAAATTATTCAATGTGAACATTATTCACGAAATTTCAATACATTTTTACGATAGTCTGTTTTATGGACAAACGGTCCAAATATTCTAATACTTTTTTATTGACACGTAGTCGACAAACTTGTCAGTCAGTCAGCTACAACGTAGGACTGTTGAAGACAGGATCCCTGAAGACAATAGTAGACGGAGGCACAATTTCATGGGTTGGTTGAAGTTAAACATTAACACCGCTGGATGCTGGCTCAGTGGTCTACAGTTTAAGCATTCGCACGCGAGAACAATAAATCCTGGGTTTGAACCCCGCAGGCGGGATCTTGAATGTGCGCTGCCGAGGAGTCCCATACTAGGACGAAACGGCCGTCCAGTGCCCTCAGGTTTTCCATAGTGGTTTAGTTTTAATTAAATCATGAATTCAACTATTAAAAAGCCGTATTTCCAAAACTGGCGCCTTTAGTCAAATTGGTATGACAGGGAAAAGACGATGAAATAATTTTGTTCACGGTATTGAATTCGGAATTGCGAATTACTAGCGCAGTGCACGAACTTATTAATGACTGTTCATAAGGATATTGTGATATGCAAATATGCAAAGGACGATCCTTACCGTTTGGCCTAAAAAAACATTTAATGGTTACATAAACGACTAGGGACTTGAACTGTGTGATAAAGTCCACAGCTAGAACCAGCATATCTGACAAGCAAATTTACTTGGTGATAGGATTTATTTTTTTATTCGATGTATGCTGTCAACTGTTGCAGTTTGTTCTGAGATAACGAAAAATATTAGGGGATCTAAGTATCTTCACCACGGTTGACTAGACACCAAATGAATTTAGCATTGGATAGATTGTCAATAATAAAAACAATGATTTATCTGTAACATCCAAATGAGTAGGAAATAGAAATACTGATGTTTCGCAGCTTAATGTAAGTTGATTCTTAGGAAAATAAATTCAGTTACTTATTTATCCTCTAAAAAACATATACAGCCGCAAAATGTCCAGAATTCAACCTTACTTCACCGGAATATTACAAACATAAGAATGTATCTCCACTAAGAATCGGATAAATTTTATTGTGAAACCTCCCAATGGATAGGTTCTGATTTGACTAATATTTTGTAAAGTAGCTAATAGTGATGTGTATCTATGAAGTTCCTACTTAAAATTCATGAATTTAGTGACGTTTATACCTATTAATCACATGAAAGTGGAATCTTAACGACAGTCGCTTATGTGTTGTTTGGTCAAGTGATACAGTAAGAACTAAGAAAGATGTGGATAAGCCCGTTGCCGTTTTTCTGTTCCTACCTGTGCCCCCTACTGACTGCATACTAATGATACAACGAAGTCAGTGGAAATTCTTGGATTTCAAGTCCAGAATCCGCGATTGTGGTCTTACGTAATTCAGCTGAAACCGCACCATACACCCCAGACGAATCTCCCCAAGTCACCGAAGAAGCGATCTTATGAGGACCATTGACGTCTGTAGTTACAGGACGAGGCACTTCATGTGCTCAAAATGCTATGGGTTAAATTGTGCGACAAAAGTTGGGTTTAAAGAGGACGGTGATGAAAACGTGACGGTTGAAGACGATAAAACAAACAAAAACATGGATCCCAAAGATTTAAATTGAATACATTAAATGAGTCTAAGATATGACTGGAACCATGCTCAAAAATCAGGCTTAACAATCAGGTCCCAATTGATTGAAGAGTGACTTGCAAACTGATTCCTCTCAACTGCCCGTGGCATTTTATTTTGTGTTAATAATTTGTATATAAGCATGTAATCTTATCGAACAAAAAATCTTTTCC